ATATGAGAACTGGCTGAATATTAGTTTCTTCTGCTCTTTTTTTCTCCTTGTGCAAAAGGGCCAAAGTTTAGTAGCACAAACCTAGAATAGGTCCAAGAGTGTTTTATGTGGGCTTCCTGATCTTCCTGTGGGCTACTTCTCTCTGCCATGATGTTCAGCCTCATCTTGAGCCCTGAGGAATGGAGCCAGCTGCCCATGCACTAAGACCTCTAAAGCTAGAAAAGAAGGAGCTGGGATGTAGCTCCCTGGTACAGAGCTTGACCAGTGCAGAACTGGAAGGGGGTGATCCTGAGTGCAGGCTGCCCAGCCCTGGCCCCAGAACCCACCCATCCAGGCGATCCTGTGTTCTCCCAGTTCTACCAGCCTATAGTGAAGATCTACACCAGAATACCATGAGGACGACTTTCCATGGGGCATCTAAGGGAGAAGGAAATGTTGACCATGTAATTTTCCAAAAGGAGAATTTTCATAATCAGTCTTAAGCTGTAAGATTTACTGTGACCTATGGAGTTAAGCCCAATTAACTGGAGGATTTGACAACACACTGGTTTGTTGACATTGTGCAATGCCATGTGGCTTCTTCAGAAAGTGATCTTGGTATTTTAGATCCAATGAAAGTATTGGTGGGGGCTGGGGATGTGGCTCAAGCGGTAGTGCGCTCGCCTGGCATGCGTGCGGCCCGGGTTCGATCCTCAGCACCACATACAAACAAAGATGTCGTGTTCACTGAAAACTAAAAAATAAATATTAAAATTCTCTCTCTCTCTCTCTCTCTCTTTAAAAAAGAAAGTATTGGTGGAAACATTAGACAAACCCTTGAAACTGTCTGTGAACTGGATTTAATTTTCCTTGTAGACAAGGTTCACGATACTCTTGTGGAAATGGTGATGAGGAGATGATATTGAAGACCAACATGAATGAGGTTGTTGCACAAATTGATGCATAAAATAAACTGGAGAAATCTTAACACAGGTGATATCAAGAACTAAAGTGCCAAACCTGTCCTTGTTTCAATAAAATATTACAAACGCCACTTCCAGATAAAACTGGGGTGTGTGGGGTAGTCACCTAAGTTTACCATGCACTTGTTTACCAAAAATAGAGGAGAGTCTTAACTTTTGCTCTTGGATTTAATCAAGGTTCTCTATAGAAATTGTGTAATGTCAGTGAGGAGATTCAGTGCTGCTTTTCTTGCTTAGTAATTTTAAAGAAATTGAAGAGTTCCAGTATGATTTGTTTTCCTTTTTAATCTGCATTCCTTAAGACCACTTAAGGCATTCCTCTATGTATTGGCTATCACAGTTGTTCAAAAAGTAAGATATTTAATTATGTTCAATTCAAAATGTTCGTGTTTTGTATGGATCACTAGCTCTGCTTTCCTGAAGTCTTTTTGCTTTTTGTTGCAATTGTTATTTAAAGAACCAAATACGTCTTGCACGGAAACATTATGACCTTTTCCTCTTAGTTTAAATAAACTCTAAGGCAACTGGAAAAATACCTACCATGCAAATGAGTTGTGTAACGCATTTAGAATATCACCTGCTCTCACATTAGGATAAAGACGATGCATTCATCATGCCCAACCATGGTCACACCAGGACCACCTGCTTGTTTTGAAGTAAGTTTGTAGAGATTAAAACAATTTTGCACCCAATGGCAGAAAGGAAGTGGCGGGCTCACTGAACTCCGTGCTGGGTGCAGGACCCAGGTGTTCACGAGGTCTCTGTGCCTCGCTGCCCGGGGCTTTCACTGGAAGGTCCCTGCTCTCATATTCAATCCACAGGATGGTTCCATGCTAAGGGATACCATGTAGAACATTCTAATTTCTTTAAAAGATGGCATACAAATTGAAGGTGTTTTATTTTCTCTCTGTTAAAAAAGCAAACCAGTTACTTCTACATGGGCAATACCAATTTTGACTACCTGGATGGTGAGGAAACAAGGTTCTCGTTTTGCTCTCAATCCAGCTCTCATCAATTCCTCAGAGTCTACTACACACTCCAGAGAGAGACGCTCACTGCTGTCCCAGGCCTGACAGAGCCATCTGTCACACACAGCACTCAGGAAGGGGCCCTCGCTTTGCCCGCAGAATGCGAAACGCCAGATAAACATCACAACTCACAGAGGTGAACACCTTCAGCCCCACGGTGGTTTCCATTCTTCTGCAACGCCTGGGTTTTCCTACGAAGTCAAAGTCACGATGCTGTTTAGGGCGGGAGTGCAACTCCGAGGAGTCCTCAACTGACATTCTTCATCTTCTCCCCGCAAATCTCATAGAACAAATAGATAGCCACTTTACTCAATGTTTAGAATGATGGTAATGTCTAGAAATTATTTTCCAGGAAAAAGATGAAATTTGAAGAAAAGACAGTATAAACTTTGGAAAGTGTTCAAAATCCCTAGACAATTTCCAAGAGTATTAACTGTTCGTAGTCCACTCTAGGGTGGAAGAGGAGTGGAGTGCCCAGCCCACCTCCCCTTTACATTTCTCTCCAAGGGCAACAGAAAGTGGAGCTTTGGAAGAAGGCAGGGAGCTACTCAAGATGACAGCCTCTCAACCTCTTGGGAGCGTCAGCTCATTCTGAGTTGAACTCCATGCTGAGAAGCTGCCGATACAGAACACTAAATTGGGTGGTATTGATTTATCCAATGACCGAAACACATCATTTTCTGACCGCGCAGCATGTGCCCTCCTGATTGAAGGACCTAAAAGAATGTTACTGTCTGCCATACTTACTATGGATGCAGCCAGGGAGACGGGCAGGGAGTGGCATGTAGGATCCCAGGGAAACAGCACATGGAACCCCAGACCTCAGGGACTATTCCTCTCTCTGAAGGCCACATAGCTTGCCAATGGGCAGTTCTTATTTCCTTAAATCTATCAAATTTTATCTTATTGATATTTTTCAACCAAGATAATATCTTATTCCTATTTAATTTCATGTTGTTCTGGAAAAAAAGCACACATATTTCTTCTCATTCTAAGAACATATTTTATGAACTCTTAACAAGAAAGGACTTGACTTCAGCTACTGACCTCACTAGGACTCCATTCTAGGCATTAGTCTCTGGAAGCAAACTCCCAACTTTTGAGACCAAGCATGCTTTGGTTGTCAAATTATTTTATTAAACATAGATTTCACATAGATTCTAATTTTCACATTTCACATAGATTCTAATTTTATTAAAGTGCTTCTCTTCCTTATTTAAAAAGAATCGGCTTCTTTTTAAAACTAGTGAATGTACACCTTTCTAGTATCTCATGACCATCCTCTAAAGACCCATGCACCTGAGACACCACAGTCCTGGAACTACTGAAGTCAAAGTGTGGCCTGTCTGACCCCTTGGGCTCCTCTGCTCGCTAGGAGAAGGGTGCCACATGCTTTGGCTGCTCCAATGTCTTCAGAGAAATAAAATGAGTTAGTGAGGTCAGTAGCCTGAGTTATTGCTTTTGTCAAAACTGCTGATACCATTAGGTTATATAATTGGTCTACGTGGAATTTCAGTTCTCTGTAGCCTTGATGCTATGTTGAAGCAGATTCTGGGGGTGATGGAAATGAAAGTTAAATACGTCTTTCAGGAGAAAGCCGATGCCTCTCTATTGTTTGGACATGACAACCATCTCTTCTACAGCACTTGAACTTTAGGGCATGTGGTACAGGGGCGCCAACTATAAACACCAAGTGCTGCTTGTTGACACTGCGGAATTTTCTAGAACCCAGAAGTAAAACATTCACTGAACGTAAATGTCTAAAGAAAAATTTGACAACAGTTCCAAGTTAACAACTGTCTATAGCTCTTAATGTTGCAGCCACAATTTAACATACATGAAGAACAAAGAATTAAGCTTCAGGTACCGAATGCCCTTGCTATGCAGGAGGGTCTTAAGACAAAACACAGTGTAATCAAACTGAGGCACGGTATTTGCCAATAATACCAGTCAGACCCAGTGCCTAGACCCATACCTGACACAACTCTGTGCTCAACAAATGTTTGCTAAACAAATGAATCAATATCCCTGTTTCAGAAAAGCCATCCACCTACTGTCCATCAGTCCACGCACAAACAAAAGTCCAGTACCAACATTAGAGGGACTTGGTTGTGGTTCTTCCCACCTTGATACATTCTGATGAAGTTGTAGGAATGGATTCATTTGACACAATTCACACAGTCATTAAGCACCTGCTACAAGCAAAACACGGCTAACAACAGAGGTAAGGTGACAGGTGCTCACAGAAGAAAGGAACACAGGTCATAGTCATTGTGATTGTCACCTCTACTGAGTGGGATTCTGGGATACACAAACCCCCAAACCCCAGAACTTTCCTCAGAGCTGTCAGTGACGAGTCCTCATCACCACTGTCCCCATGCAGACCTGCTCTTCTCATTCCCACCATTCCTGGCTGCACCACCCCTCACCCCCCCATCCCCCAATGGTCTTCAGAGGTCACTTTTGTAATGTCTCATCATGGTCAATACATCCCCCTGAGTACATTGCTATACATCTCCTCCGACTATTGCCTTGGTCCTGCTGCCAAGCTGCAGGCCCCAGCTCCTCACCAAGGCCTCCTCCCAATGGCAGTCTCCTCTCTCAGGATGTCCACCACTTCATCCAGTGTGGGCAGCAGGTGCCAGACACCTGCTGTGTGGGTGCAGTGGAACCAGGAGGCTCCCATTTCTGTCGGGGCAGGTCTTGCAGCAAACTCAAAGCAGCAGTGAGGTCTTAACAAGATTATTACTATTTGAATGTCCCCAGGCACCTGTGGGTGACAGCAGTTGACAGGTGTGTGCATGTGGTTAATGCTGGGTCACTGGGTCTGCGGCTGCTCATTTGTTATGACTCCCCAGGCCCTAAGCCCAGGGCTGTGCATGGGCAATCAGCTACTCTGGTACCTTTCTGACGCTTGTGAATGAGTATGCTTCCTACTCAGTATTGGCGGTGACAGCATCATTACAATAATGCCAAGATAATTCGGACAGAGAATGAAAAGCCGTCTTACCTGTTGGCGCTTCTCGAATTCCAGCTTGATGCGGGACTTGATGCAGTTACACGTGTCCTGGTACGTCTGCTGCAGAGCTAGTTCCATGAGGTGCTTGTGGTAGGCGCCGGCCAGGTTCCCACAGATGAAGATGATCACGTTGGCCAGGATCTGCAGGGATGGAGAGAGTCACTCAATAGGCGAGGCCCCTAACTCCTGACAGAAAGAAAGCAAAATGCAGCTGACCGTGGTCTTCAGCAAACAACTAATGGGGTTCGTCTGGCCAGTTTCCAAGCCAGTATTCTTACTGGCTCAACAGACAGCACCAGTCCCACTGACGATTCTGTCCCTTCCTGCATCACAGTCAGGGATCCTGCCCGCTGACGGACAGACAGCCTTGCAGGCCCTGCCTTGAGGTCTGGAGGAGGCCTGTGTGTTGCAGGCCACCCTCTTGGGCCTCAGCAGGAGGTGGACATGCCGGTCTGTCCCAGAGCCGCGCTGTCCAACCTGCGCCTGTTGCTAAGTGCTGGCGAGTTCATGGCTGTCACATGGCGTCGTGGTGACACATACAGGCCTGCAGGACTGATACTCACTCTTTTGTTTGCGGAGGAACAAGGAAGACTCTCAACACATATAACCTGTTACTCTTTTGATGATAAAACAATTTGTGTTCACAACAATTTGGGAGGAAAACAGAAAAACATAAAGCAAATGTGAAAAGAACCTTAGCTGTCCTATCGAGGAAAAACACTCTGCTGTCCGTGTAGCCGTGTCCGTCTACCTCACGTCCTTCGGTATTCTCAAAATTAATGCTGCGCTTGGTTTGGTCAAGGACTTTATCCTGTTTCAAAAGGCCAGATTTTGTTCCAAATATGGTTTGGTGTTTTGCTTTCCTAGTTTAATAATTTAATCACAATTTTTCTGAGACTACGTAATTTCTGTGAAAACAGGATTTTGAGTACTTAGATAACGTTCAGCTTTACGACTCTAGCATCATTTAGCTAAGTTCCTATGGCTCAGTTGACCTTCGGTGCATCATGCTGTAGATGTCAAACTCATGCCCAACAACGCTGAGGGACAGCCGTGACCTTACCAGCACACAGTGACAGAGGCCGGTGGGTCAGCACAGATCTGCCCCAGGTATCTCTCATCTTGCCAAATGCACGCAGCTCTGACTTCCTCTTCCATCTTTCTGTAGACCCAATTCCTTAGCACACACTGAGTCAAAGTGACGTTTATGTTAAGTTCTTGATATACACGACACAATCACTCTCAGGAAATATTCCTCATGTCCCCCCAGCAGGGGTGACAGTGGTATTTTCAGTGTGTGCTCTTCTTGGGTCGCACATGGTCGCACAGATGAAGCTCTCCCGTGTCAGGGCTGGCCTCGGGTTACCCGTGGGATAGTCAAACAGCCTGGACAAAACTGTGCCACGTCGACACAGTCATGATTCTGACCTAAGACAGGGGCTCATGGCTAGAATAACAAGGCAGGGGCTCTGCTTCCAAAGGTCCTCTACTCGCAAGAGTCTCCCCAGCACAGACCAAGTCCCCAACCCAGTGGACAGGGGCAGGCGGGGCAGCCCTTCGCCTTGGCCTTCCGGGTTCCCTATGCAGGGACTTCCTGAGAGCGTGGCTGTCCTCGCCCTGTAGAGTGGGCTCTCCTTCCCAGTGGGAGCAGGAGGAGGCCATCTGATGGGGTGACCAGGAAGTAGGATGCAGTCCTTCTTGCCCTTTTCAGGGTCTTCCTCCCTGAAGAGGGTGGTCAGCTTCAGGAGCTATGTCCTCAGCCAAGGGCCGCTCACTCTGTGCTGGGGAAGGCCTTCATTGGGGGCAGGAAAGTGGGGCATGTTAGCAAGACCTCGTCCTCTGCACAGTTGTAACTGCCATGAGAGCACAGTTTTCTTCACCTGCCCAGTGCTTCACCCACCTCATCCTAGGTTCTGGACAGCAGAAGGGGGATGTTGATTATGAGCTCCTGAATCCCAGGGAAACGCATTTGGAGGGTGGAGGAGACAAAGCTGGACAGAGCTATAAATGGAAAGGCAGATGAGCCTCTCTTATGAAATGCAGACTCCCTAGACAGGTGGGCCAAGAACCATGCAGACTAGAAGGGCCCTGGGTGCTGTCCTAGGAAACTCCTGCATCTCACAGATACTTGGGATTGAGGAGCTCCTACATCTCACGTCCTCACACCTCACCTCCAAACGTCCTTTTATGCGTCCCCATTGACCTTTCATCATGGATGATGAAATAGTACCTTTGGGTCTTGCCCTGGGTGCTGTGTGAGGTGCATGCACACACATGGTGTATATGCAACCATCTCTGTGTGGTCTGTGTGGGATTACATGTATGATCTCTATGCTTGAGTGCCACCTGTGGCTTGTCATGTGATGAGCATGTGACACATGTGCTCTTTGTGGGAGGCACGTGTGCAGCAGCTCAGGGCTTTGAAGCAAGGCAACAGCCTTTGGTGTGTCTTCCACACGTTTCCAAACCACAGGGCTCTCTCCTCACTGCCATGCACTGATATGCTGCTTCAGTGAATGCCACCCCTAGAGCAGGTGAGAAGTCCTGGCTTTCTATTCAAGGGGTCCTGTGCCAGGTGAACAGAGGTTCATGGTGGTACCGTGTCCATGGAACAACATTGAGTGCTGGATACAGTTTCTGCAAAATGACTATCTGGCTTGCTGGAGATTCTTCTGACCTTGTCATTGCTGGACTTGCTTGAAGAATAGTGCACCCAAGATTGCAGTGCTCAGACCTAGAAAACACCAGCTCCTTCCTTACTAGGTGCAGCCGAAGTAGTAAAACGGCTTACTGGTTATCCATCAGGGTTCCATTTTTCTTTCTCAAAAAAATTAAAAATAACTCAAAAATAAGAACTAGGTATAAGCACAGGAGCTGAATGAAGCTGTCACCTGTCCCCTGGCTGCCAGCATGGAGTATGAATGGAGCACTCATAACCATCCTCAGTGTGGAGAGCCCGGTGCTGGGATGGCAAGAACTGCCTGTCCCTTTCCCCCTGGAAACCCTCCGATTAACTATTTCCTCTCCGTTCTCCTGGCTGGACTGGGAAGAATGGGCTCCTGTCAAGCTGATGGGATGCCCTGCTGCAGTCCTGCTGCGGGGGCATTAGGAGGGATGTGGCCAATCTGCGTGAGCATCCGCCTCAAGCTCTGGGCTCCATCCCGAGCCCAGAGGTTTGCATCTCACATGACCAGCTCCCTAGTCAGACTGAAGTCGGGGCATCACGCTCAGAGCCCATGTGGCTGAGTGGACAAGTGCTGCTTGTCTATTAAGAAGTTCCTCCACATTCTAAAAGCAAAGATTGTGCAAAGCCGGAGACGGCTGTCTAGAGAAGCGTGGCCTCTCTGCCTGTCTTTTGTCCAGTGCTCTAGACCAACGTGTTACAGCTGGAGATTTGCCCTGTCCTTCGACTTGGGGAAAACCTTGGGGTCATTCATTCTGAGTTCCACAAGCTTCCAACAACATGGAATTCCAGCCCTTTCTGGTGACAGATAATTGGATAGAATATATTCGCTGATTTATTGTTGTTTTCAAAGAAAAATGTTTAAGAAACAAATAAGAGCTTTAATTTCCAATAAAATATGAGATTTCTTTTCTGATGGAAAACAAAATTATTAACATTAATCTGATTCCTAGTCTTATTCTACATTACTGTACTCTGAGGTTAACAGAATCGACCCTGGTATTTTAATAATGACATACACTTAAATATATATTGATGTCCTAAAGTATTTTTCTTTCAAAATGGTGCATTCATATGATTTTATGTGAAACCTGGGGCACAGAGGAAGTGATATTAGATTAAGATTTTCTTTTCTTTTCTTTTCTTTTTTTTAATTGGTTGTTCAAAACATTACAAAGCTCTTGACGTATCCTATTTCATACATTAGATTCAAGTGGGTTATGAACTCCCATTTTTACCCCAAATACAGATTGCAGAATCACGTCGGTTACACATCCACATTTTCTTTTCAACAGTAGTATCAAAGCATTTTGTTTTCTAGAAGGCTTAAGGAGACCCTATGACAAAAAAAAAAAATCTTATTTTCAAAATGTTGGATTTGTTTGATAACATCATACTGCCTGGATATCTTCTTTTATCTCATTGCTCCATTTACCTATCCTCACATCTTCCAGGAAACGGGAGTGGGAACTTGGCCTCCCGCCGGGTGTGTGTGTCGAAGGGCTTAAGGTGATAACCTCAGTCGGGTTACCCCACAGGGAAGCCCAGGCCTAAAAGTTGTGCACGGGGCATAATCAGGAATCTGTGCCTATGGAACGCTGCCAGGATGTCACAAGGAAGCCTGCTGTCTCTCTGCTCCCTGGTTCCCTGTCTTTGCCTGGCGCAAATGTGGGGAGGTTTGTCCACCCTTGTCAGCCATTCCCAGGGGATGCCTGTTAACGCCCCCTGAGCTGGGGGGGAAATCACTGTCCACCAGTAAGCTGCATTCTGTCTCCTTCCTAGTGGCCACCATCACTCTTCCCCACACACCTTCTCTCTTTCCATCCTTGGAAGCATTGAGCAGTAGCTAGCCCACCAGGAAGACAGTCATGTTGCAGCATTCCATTTTACAGCCATGCAGACAAAGGAAAAAATTAAGCAATAGGGGGTAGATTCTGGCAGACTGGCTCTGACGGTTCCCTGTGCCGCCCCACACCGCCAGCCCCAGGTCTCAGGTCAGGGCCGTCCACAGCCATCCAACCCTCTGCTAGTGTGGGGGGAAGGTATGGCTGAGGAATTTCTCAAGAGACACCCATTTCTTTGCAACAAGCGAACATTTTTCTCTTCATAAAGCATTTGTATCTTGTGCTATAAAGGGCTGCCACCATTTAAAGTTATTTTAAGAGGCTGCGTTTTGGAGACCACATGCCATGGAGCCCTTCACTGGTTTGGCCCACGTGTCTGTGCACGTTCCCAGGAAAGTAAGAAGAATGTCAAATGCTCCCAACTACATTATGTGACCCACAGGGTGGCCCGTCTGAGACTATTTTACCTGGGAAGCGGTCGGTCCTGTCTTCCATCATCTGAGAAATTCACCACAGTGCTTAGGTGACTACTCAGATCCCTTGTGACTCTGACTGATGCACATCTTAAAGAGGCTACTATTCCAGTTCTTCATCTTGTGATGGGGTGGCCAACT